ATGTTGGTAATAGTCACTTACCTAAGAAGTTACAGCGTGCCTCTAAAAAGTGCCTTACCTTCTTTTCGATCTGAATGGGATGTGAAAAACACTTGAGTTTTGCCACAGATTTGTGCAAATGAACTGAATGCTTCATCACGCACATCAGTACTTGAAAAACCGTGGAAAACTGGTCAGTGTCTATTGTGTTTACGGCATTGCGCTTTACTGTTGCCCATAATACCTGAAAGCAATTGCATTCAGCGACCGTTGGGAATGTCCTTAAGGATGAGGAGCGCTGGCGGGAAAACTGTGGCGTTAGGTCATTATATCACCTCGTGGTCCCCTATCTCCAGGCCGAAGCAACAGCTGTGACTTCTTCATGACACACAAACCTCTAGTTTCATGGTTTTCACAAAACATACAGTGATAAGAAAAGACCGAATTGTTCTGATGAACATGGAATTTCTATTATAAACTTGAACATATTAGATAAGAATGGCTTATCAAGACATGCTCATGCACAGCAATTATTCCGAACTGAGTGTACAATACATGCCATTAATAATGAAAGCACTTAAACCAGGCAAACTAAAATTTATTTGTCAGTCTGCGCTTTTGGGAACCACAATCTTCAATTTCTCGATTGTCATGAAACAACCCAGCCATCGGGTATGTAAATAGTCTTCTCATTTCTCATCACATGTGCAATATAGGCTCGTTGTCACATTTTTTATTTAAAAGTTAAGTCCATTTCTGTACAATATGTTTGTTTAGGTTACAAAAAAGCAATTGAACATTTTCACTGTTATTGCCCATGGAAAGAGCATTAGCTCACTGAACACAACAAGATGTTGTTGTTGTTGCTGATGTTGTTGTTGTTGTTGTTTTACAAAAACCTCCAGTTCCACACTAAATGCTGTTCAAATCCACATTGATCAACTGTTGTCACATGGCAGATTATCTGTGACCGTGTGAAGGCAGTTAATCCACAGCTACTGTATTTCATGTCTTATTCCTGAGCCACTCAGACCTATATATACTGTATATCTATTGGACAAATGTGTTCTAAACAAAACCATTTACAGGAATGTGCATGTGTGGCATAGCAATTCCTTATCATCATGTAGAGTAAAATACAAATCAAGATAGTAGAGGTAGTCTTTGAGGATATGGGGATGAATAGTTTCAATCAAATCACATACAGCCATGAGATCCACAAATAAAGAAGGAATAAGCCAGGTAATGATCATATATATATATATATATCACTATTGCATTAAAGGTGCCATATGGAATAATTGAGGTAAAAATATCCAAAAAATGAGCTACACACATCAAAAGAATGAGAAGAAATAAGTGCAATGATGTCATTAAAAAACTGACAAGTTATAGTGCTGCCGAGATATAACCTAAATTAGCATGCTAAATTACTAGCCCCGGCCCGGCAGGTGTCGTAATACCAGTTTCGGCCATGGGAGGCGGTATGCGGGCGGGCAACGTTACCACCAGCCAAACTGCAGTAACCACGAGTAAGTCGCGCCGGCTTGTGTGTACTTGAACAAACTTGAACCTGATGTCATGTCGTGATATCGTGTGGAAATACAGCCCACTACTAAATTTCAGTTCAGGGATGAGTTAAATAAATGATTGGTCGATATTATGCATGAGGAATACATTTTGGTAAGTTGTAACATATCTTTCAACAGTGTTCGTGTTCTTTTACCATTAGCTACAGTAGTAGAGATGATCGGTTCACGTGCGCTAGGGATCTGTCGTCTAACATTTACAAGCGCCAAAACTGCATTTATTGTTTGAATTGCGTAATAAAATGAACAGAATCTGAGAGCTGAGATCGGTCTCCGTGTCGTTTTCTGTGCATGACAAAATGGATGTGGCGTGAGAGTGTGTGAAAAGTTGTGTGTCTCACGGTGAATTTGTGAGAGTTGGCAGCTCTGAAAGGCGCTAGCTTGGTCCACATCAGGGAATGCTGTCGGTCAAATTAACTCAAACTAATGATAAAAATGTAACATGAACAAAACGAATACCATAAACTAAAAATGCCTGGGCTTTAATTTTCCCATATCGTCGAAATGCACCGGCTTGTCTATGAGACGGCCTTTATAATTTAGTATTGAGATGTTGTTCATTTAGTCTATAGCGTCTTATTAACTCCCTTTTCTTCTCCCTCTTCTTCTGTCTGCCATTTTCTCCTCTGCTAATGAAACTCTTAAGACTCTAAAAAGTCATCGTCCGTACTCCCAACAATTTTGACTAAGACCTCTTTTAAGGGTTAAGATGCTTTCTAAATTACCTTTTCTTCAATTTCAAGAGTAAATGCCCACATTTTTAAGACTGTTCTTAGAATTTTGACACTAGGAACTCTTTGCATTGAGATTCTTCATGAATACGGGCCCTGTTCTATGCAGAGGGACCGTTGAGTTCTCTAGGCACCAGCACATCTCAGATGCTCTAAAATACTGTGGAAATGTGCACTGTGGCAAACAACTGTCATGAGATGGGTGAATTGCATGTGTGTGTGTGAAGGCACCACTGACATGGAGGGGTATATTGGGATTGTACGGAGACATTTAATAGCATGAAGATGACATCTTTACTGGGAAGCAAGGTGCCAATGACAGGCCTCGTTCTGCATGTGCTGCACTTCACACAGTAGAAGGGATGTGCCTGACTGCCCGCCTTGAGTCCAGGGCCCGTATTCATTAAAAATCTTAATGCAAAAAATAGCTCCTAGTGACAAAATGTGGGCATTTACTCTTAACATTAAATAAAAAATCCTGGTTAAGAAAAAAGTAATTCAGAAAGCATCTTAACATTTAAAAGAGGACTTAAGGTCAAAATTGTATAGGAGTACGGAGTTTCTTTAGCAGAGAAGAAAATGGCAGAAAGACAAAGAAATGTGTTGCAGACAATGGATGACAGTGAGTTAATATGACGTTATAGATTAGATCACGCAGGGATCATGTTTGTGACGGATCTTATTAGAGACACGCTAACATCTCAGACAAGAAAAGGCCGTAAGGCCAGAAATGAATCACAACATTAAGATAATTGGCAACTGGGAAAATGCAATAAAGCAGCAGTGATGATTTGGGTCTGTCACAACCTTCTGTAAGCAGTGATCCCACAAACATTACAGCGCTTTCAGGACCTCTTATTGTGTCGCAGTTCATTAGTTTCCACTGGACATTCCGGCTCAAAGAACTGCAATGGTTCATCAAGTCATAACAGGGTGAAAGGCACTTCTGCCATAACCTGACGGGATCGCTTTTATTGCACTAAGGAACTCTGGGAACTGGGGTAGTAACCCGACCACAAAAAGAACTACAAAATTTGACTGCTTTACGTCAAGCTCTACAATAGTCATTATTTCGTTTTTCTTCGTTTCTGATGTCGCAATACATCCTTTCATGAAATCATGCAACATAATCTAACTTGTCTGTGGACATCGTTCATTCTAAAGCCGGTGCTGGATAAACAACGAGGGTGCGTGCGACGGTAGGCTAAACTATTTACGACAGCGGTAATGGCCAATTTTTTTTCCGACCGAAGAGGAAAAGTTCCATGGTATTACTTTATCAGCATGGTAAAAAAAAAAGAAAAATATTTATATACATATGTATAATGTGTGTGAGATATATGAAGAGTTCCGATGCCTCTAGAATGATCATTTTTATCAAACTTGTATATTTAAGTTCAGTAATTTCACTTAAATGACAATTAATAGGTAATCTTCATTGCAATTTAAGTGAAATTACTGAACTTAAATATACAGGCTTGATAAAAACGATCATTCTAGAAGAAAATTTCAAATGGCACTTAGAGGCTTTTGCATCAAAACTTTTCATATATTCAAGATTGCTCTTTTTTTCCCTTCTTGGACAACCAACCAATCACAGTCTTCACAAGATTGAGCCTCCTCACGAAGATGAAAGTTTTTGTCTTTTCCTTGTTCAGAGTTGCTCTCAGATCAGTCCCGAATTGTTCTTAAGTTAAGACTCCTACGTAAATGTTTTTAAGCTAAATTGAGAGTTTTCTGAGAGGATTCTTGGAATCTTTATGAATATGGGCCCTGATCTGTCTCCTAGGATGAAGGATAATCAGACAACGACGACCAAGGACTGTTGAGCAGCTGCCTTGTATCAGGCGAAATTGGGCAAAAAATACACTTGCAAAACTTCATCAACTATTAAAAAGTGTATGTTTAAGGTGATTTAAGGCATTGGGGTCAACATGCCTCTTTTCCAACTGTTTTGGAGTGTTTTGCAGGCAATGAAAATCAAAATTAGTGTATATTTATAAAACAAACTGTTGGTCAGTGATTGAAAATTGTGTACTTTTGTCCATTAAATAAAGTTTAAAGAGAATTAACAAATGACAGATTCTTGATTTTATTGCATTTTACAAAACTTGTCTGGAAATGGGGTTGCATCAACTGATTAGACTAAGGCTGCTGAACTGTCAGTCCAAATCCGATTATTTGTGTATCCAATTGTTATCTGATCTAAAATTATTAATTTTTCCAATGAAAATGGATTGGGTGTTTTTTAAAATTCGTACTAATGTGTTACAGAGTTAGCCAACTGGTATGTAAATGAACATAAGGAAATTAAAATCGCAGTTCATAGAGACCACACATGCTATGTTTGTGATCTTGGTGTGCCATTCGTAATCACTCCTTCAATGGCGTTTGAATTATGGGAAAAACAATGTAAAAGAACATATCAGTTGTTACAATTTTCATATCAATATGGTACAAGATAATCCTATTCAAATCGATGTGATAAACACATTAGGTCAAAAGTAATCTAAAGGTAGTCAGATTTTATTACCTTAAATGTGTATTGGATTATGTATTTAACTTTAATTTTCACCATGTAATTTGGAATCAGTAATTGATTACAGTTTTTTGCAGCACTGCTTGTTGGCTGGGGACAATTTTTACAGCCACACTTTCTTAAAAAAAAAAACACTATTATTTATGATATCTTTCATTTCAGTTTGTTTTGCAGTTTGGAAAAACCATCACATGCGCACTGTGACCAACTACTTTATCGTGAACCTGTCCTTCGCAGACATCCTAGTCACGATCACATGTCTTCCTGCAAGTCTTGTGGTGGACATTACAGAAACCTGGTTCTTGGGACAGACCCTGTGCAAGATACTACCGTACTTACAGGTAAGGAAACAGTTGACATATGGACTTAATTTGCCACTACATGTTTGGGTTTCTTTTCATAGGAAGCCATATGCCTCTAAGTAAAGTTTCAAATGTTTTAACACATTATTTTGTGAATTATGATATATTTGAACTTCTGACGCATCAGGATTCTGCTGCTCAAGGTAGTTTGTGCTTGTGTCGCAGTCAATTAATCACGTAAAGAGCTTAAGCTTTGAACGTTTTATTTTTATTTTTTTTGAGATTGAGATGCTCTGCCATGAATTACATGCTTTTCAACACCATTTGATGGGACTGATGGAGTGACAACATGCTCTTCTGGTCATTTTTTAAGGAACGCATTCAACCTTTTGTCTTGGAAGGACCTGATGGATAATCTGTAATATTTCAGCTGACATACCCTTCACAGTTTGAAAGCTTGGAAGTAGTATTGTTTCTTCTCCATCCCTGATGGGCATAGTAATCTTTGCTAGTTGAATAACTGAATATTAATAAGAGTTTTGAAGTTATCAAGGCTGAAGAAGCAGCTGTGGGCCATGCCTGCGGCTGCTTCAAGTGTTGACATATGTCTGAATAAAATCAGTTTCCAATCACATTCATGGCTTTTGACCCTCAAATAGAGTCACGTTTGATTGATGCCAGTATAATGTAGGATTGTTTCAAATGCATCCCAGACACTTAAGCTCAAACTTCTTCAAGCTGACATTTATTTCAAAATAGCTCCACTTGAGCAGGACTAGAGGATGAAGTCTCCATTGATGCTATGCAGATGCATCAGACATATGCAGTGTGGAGCTTATCTATAAGCATATCGGTTGAAATTGACCAATTTGCACAGAACACACGCATTGAAAATCGAGTGATAATCATGTCATCTGACATCGTGTTGTTTTTAAAAAAGGTACTGCTCTTTTAGATATGGAATTTCTATAATACAATCCACATTTATATTGACTGAAAATAGATATCAGTGAGTTTCGATGAATCCGATCTGGAATGCTTCTTCACATGCATGCATTCATTGTTTTTCTCTTTTTTTTCTTTTTTTTTTTGTCGGGAGTGTCTGTTATCCACTCTTTAAAGGAGGAGCTCTAACTTGTTCCTCTTTTTAAAATATTATTAATAATTATTATTATGATTCACTTTGATTGGGTTCCCAAAACTTCCTCTGAGAGGTCTGACAAAATAAAACACTAATATTAGTAGTAACTGAAGATTAAATATTCATTCACGTTGACATGTAAATGTGTCATTCAATTGTCAACTAATTATTTCACAGCAACATTTTTGTGCATATACAACATTCTTTGGGTCATGCCTGTTCCACAGTAGAAATTGTTCATGCTGTTTATTCATTTGTTAAATCGTGACCATGTTATATTAGTGTTTCCTAGTTTTATGTAAACCAGAACCACAGTACCTTCTAAATAAATATAAAAAAAAACTAATACTTGCCGATATTTGTTCTGTGTAATTCCCATCAAAGATGATGTCATAAAGAAAATTGTCATTGTACAAAACACAATGTAAATTAATATTAACCCCTTGGCTGTCACCCCCCTTTTTGAGAATGGGGGTTAAAATGCACTATTCACACTTAAATGGTTGTAATTCAAGAATGCTTTGGAATATATACCCAAGTTTGGTCTTGTTTTAAAGAAAACACTCCGCAGATTATTTCTGAAGTAAAAAGTGAAAAAGTTATGGAATTTTGAATTTACAGTAAATCAAATATACTGTACGATATATTTTTTATTTTACATAAAATATATTTTTTACAAAATATTTTTTTACTATAAAATCAAAGTCATAAATCTAACCAAGTTATGTTCCAAATTTGAAGTTGATATCACAAAAATTGAAGTTCCCATGAGATTTTGTTTAGGCGTAGTACCAAAAATAGCCACCGGGTGCCATTGAATTTAATTGTATACATTCTGCCTTTACAAATAAATACATTTCTGTCCAAATATCAATTTTGTCACAAAATTTGGAACCTTGAGACTCAGTTAAAACCTATACATAATTTACCAACTCAAATTTCTAAGAAAGAATCTTTTATTTTAAACATTTCATTTAGAGAGAGGGAACAAATGAAGAAACGATTCCTACTGATTCGTTTTTTTTTTTGTTTTTTTTTTACTTCACATGTTATTGAACATAATAAGTCTGCAAGTTTTTAAATGATTTAAAATTCATCGCATGTGACAGTGTACATTACTTTTTCTTACATAATAATATTACTCCATACTTAAATGTATAATTACACTGTAACAAGGACACCTTCAAATAATGTGTAAGCCTTCTTGTTTGTGGCTCTCCATCTCCATTTGTAGACGATCTCAGTGTCGGTGTCGGTCCTGACTCTGAGCTGCATTGCCCAGGATCGCTGGTACGCTATCTGTCACCCGCTGAAGTTCAAGAGCACTGCCAAGAGAGCCCGTAAGAGCATCGTTCTGATCTGGCTGGTGTCCTGTGTGATCATGATTCCTCAAGCTATAGTCATGGAGTGCAGCAGTCTTCTGCCAGAGCTGACCAACAAAACCAGTCTGTTCACCGTGTGTGACGAACACTGGGCAGGTAAGAGATCTTCTGCTTCTTCACACTAGGGCTATATATCACTTTAAACAGGCCATTTAGTTTTGCTACGGGAGCTCAGAGAGATAGCAAGGCTCAATCGAGTATCGACTGCAAGCTCAAGAACATAATTAATGGCTGTTTTATGGCTAAAAGTGTTCAATTAACCCTCTGGAACTGAGGCATTTTCTTGACTTGACGGTTGTTTCACTGTCTCGGGCCCAATTCCCTCGCCTTGCTGCAGGTCTTTAAGCAGAACATGACTCTGACGCACAGATTGTAGTTTATATAATCTAATTTACTTTTTCATTGTGCTTTCTCCGCTAAACAAACCTCACAAAAGGAGACGCTCACTTGCTGAATTGTTTGCTCAAAAAATGCGTCCCATTTGTATCTCTTATTTTGACAAACAACAATAAATAAGGCAAATAATTTCACAAATAATGCTTCCTGAAGACAAACAAGCTAATGATGTCTACATTTCACGTCTTGTGACTGCCGTTGGCCGATAGCATTATTATAGCCGTGATTTCACACATGCTTCAGAGACTGGCATTCTGACAACAGAGTTGAGTTCCCTCGAATGGGAACAAGACATTACAAATTAACTAAAAACAAAGATTTCCACAACATTTGTGAAATGACATGTATTTAGTCATACTTTTGGGAGAATAATCTCATTGACCTTTTATGTGAATAAAGTCATAAACCTCTTAACTGTCACCCCCCTTTTTTGAATAGACATGGAAATGCACATTTCGAACTTAAATGGTTGTATTTCAAGAATGCTTTGGAATATAGATGTAAGATCTTGTTTTAAAGAAGACATTTGGCAGATTTTTGTCGAAGTGAAATAAATTAACAAAGTGAAACAGAAATTTTTTTATAGAAGTTTGAGTTTGTGGAAATGTACAATGTAAAAAAAATTATTATTCATATTTTATATAAAATTCAAAACCTGGGCTACTCTAAAACGAAAGAAAAATCAAAGCCAAAAATCTGAACAAGTTGTGTTTCAAATTTTTGGTTGATATCTCAAAAAATTAGCTTTCTGCGAGATTTTGTTTGGGCGCAGTACCGAACGCTTCCACTAGGGCACAACCAGACTCCATTACTGCCCATATAAGGGCGCATCCATTTCCATGTGTGTTTTGAGTGATATTAACCATCATTTTTCATACAATTTATGAAGTAGAGATCCTATTCAGAAGTAGTATGGGGAGTTTGGCAGATTTTGATATGAATTCAACCTCTAAAAAACATGTGCGTTATAGCTTCCTGCCACATCACAAATGGTGAATTTATTATTATTATTATTATTTTGTAATATTTAAAACATTTTCAGACCTTTTTTTCTAAAATAACTGAATGGATGCAATCTTTTGAACTCTTGGCATGAAAACAAACTGAGGTTTCTACCCTTTTTTCATGATTTCTCATGTTCATTGCTATTTCAAAATAAAGGTCTGAACACGCTTTATGAGTATGAAAATATTCTTGTTGCAAATTGATAAATTACGGCTCCTGTGTAATTTATTTTGAAAATCAGTCGCCAAATATGGAAGATTGTAAGCTTTCAAATGAGTTTGTCAATATTACTTTTTTTTTCTACGATATTAATGTTTTAAAAATATGAATGGCAAACGTCCCACCTTTAACAGTTTAGGGGTTAAAGAGATTAAAGTAGTAATATTATCAGAATAAAGTTTTTAATATAACAAATACGCTGTGTGCAATACAGTATAATTTGTTCATAATTCCAGGGAACAGTCTTATCTAACCCCCCTTTGTGTCTAATCTTTACTCATGCTTTGTATTCATATAATTTGTGATGAGTTTTGAACATGCAGCAAACATCCATCACATCCTCTTTTACGGTTTCGATTTAGTCACTCAATACTGTTGTGAATAATGAACTCATCATACTGGCAGTTGTGTGTGGATTTATCAGTAATTTTTTAATATATTCTCCTTTCAGTTTTATAAATGGAAATTTGTCAAAGGCAGGAGTCCAGGAGTCAACATTAATCAGACTGTATGGATTCAAACATTTATAGTGCTTTGCTGCATATTCCCTTACAAAGATTAAATCTGTCTGCATTGATCGTTCCCTTGCCGAGCAAAAAGACACAATGACAGATGAAAAGACATGAAAGGCAGAGCGCGGCCCCCTGGTGAGAGACGTGGGCCGCCCCCCAGATGAGTCTCACAATGGCCACCAATGAGTCGTGATCCAGCAATGTGTGAGGAGGTGAGGGCCCCCAGATGAGCACGGGGTCCGACACTAATCTCCCGGTGCCAGGCAATTTGTTGGATGACAAAATCACATCAAATCCACCCTTTTCCAATATCGAACAAATAGAATTTCACAACACCAAGTCAGGATTTCACTGCAAGGTTTGCTGTCACACAACGAAACAAATGAGGTATAAATTCAGGTTACTAAACAGATGTGCCAGTTTTAATTTGGGAATGGATTAAATTAGGTAAAGGGATAAATTCTGTTTACTAAAATTGTGGGGTCTTCTGCTGTTGTAGCCCATCCGCCTCAAGGTTGTGTGTGTTGTGTCTTCACTGCATACCTCGGTTGTAACGAGTGGTTATTTCAGTCAAAGTTGCTCTTCTATCAGCTTGAATCAGTCGGCCCATTCTCCTCTGACCTCTCGCATCAACAAGGCATTTTGGCCCACAGGACTGACCCATACTGGATGTTCATTCTTTGTAAACCCTAGAAATGGTTGTGTGTGAAAATCCCAGTAACTGAGCAGATTGTGAAATACTCAGACCATGCCACGCTCAAAATTGCTTAAATCCCCTTTCTTTCCCATCCTGACATTCAGTTTGGAGTTCAGGAGATTGTGTTGACCACACCCCTAAATGCATTGAAGCCGCTGCCATGTGATTGGTTGATTAGATAATTGCATTAATGAGAAATTGAACAGGAATCCTTTAGGTGAGTGTGTATTCGTATACAATAAATCACTATATTTAAAATCATTTTTTTTTAAATAATCATATTTTTTCAGATCAAAGATTGCAATTTTGATTTCATCTCATTGTATATTCCTTAGCACTATAAATATGAGATTAAACTGAAATCAAAAGTGGATCTCGGAAGTAAACATCTTCTCTCAAGGGAACTGCCAACATTAAAAGTATCTTAAAAGAGTCTTCTCAATAATTCTCAATCATTTTGATGCTCCGTCATGCTCTCCGTAGGCCGTAGAGAATCAAATCTGTGACAGCCAAAGCAATTCTGTCCCATTGTGAATTAGTGCTGCAGGTTTGGGTTCAGCAAATCTCTGCGCTCATGGATTGCCGATCACAATAAATTCAGTCGGATTTGCTAAAGTGTCTGGTTGTCATTCCCACCACTTTATAACAGTCTCTCTAGGGCTGACAAACATCAGAGTGATAAAACCCAGCTCTGCTAAATATTATAAACCTGGGCTGTCAATCCAAACGGCATGAGATGCTTCTGAAGCATGTGTCACTCTCCGCCAGATGTGTGATGAAGTGGGGAGAGTAATTTGGTGATACGACTGCCAAGTGCCCTTAACTCCTGCTTTCACAGCACACACAGCACATGATTGCCTATTCTTAAGCCCAGCGAGCCCATTCTCACATATAATCACAGTGTCTCGAGAATCTAACCGGCGTCTGTGACAATGGGGAAACGATTCATTTCTGTCTCCATTAAATTACTGTTTGTAATCATATTTTCCCATTTGTTGCTTTTCCAGGAAATGGGAAACGTGTGTCTATGAATACCACATATCTTCTAGCTCTCATCGCGCACAATTGTTGCAAAATCCCACGCCTTCTTTTGAGATGTGTCGCTTATGTTCATGTGTGTGATTTTGCTGCTGCTTATACACAACATTTAAAACAAATAGTGCTAAAGCTGGAGCGGAAATCAAGCTTAGTTCTTAGATCTTTGTTTGTTTCCAAATGGTTTATGTAAAGATTGGAAATAAAAATCGAGCGCAGGAAAAAAGTTTTTCATTTCTATTTCACTCTCATTTCACTCCGAAACCGTATGGCTTTCTTTTTTCATTGTTTTGTTTAACATACAGTTACAATGAACTGGGGAATTTTCAGAAGCGCTAAATGTGTCGCCATAAAGTCGCGTATTTTTCTCTGCTCTGATTGGTCAGATTGGCTCAGTCTGTTGTGATTTGTCAACTCTGCTCTCATTGGTCAGATGACTCAGTCTGTTGTGATTTGTCAACTCTGCTCTGATTGGTCAGATTGGCTCAGTCTGTTGTGATTTGTCAACTTTGCTCTCATTGGTCAAATGACCCTGTCTGTTGTGATTGGTCTTTTCTGCTCTGATTGGTCAGATGTCCCAGTCTGTTGTGATTGGTCTACTCTGCTCTCATTGGTCAAATGACCCTGTCTGTTGTGATTTGTCTTTTCTGCTCTGATTGGTCAGATGTCCCAGTCTGTTGTGATTTGTCAACTCTGCTCTCATTGGTCAGATGACTCAGTCTGTTGTGATTGGTCTTTTCTGCTCTGATTGGTCAGATTGGCTCAGTCTGTTGTGATTGGTCAACTCTGCTCTCATTGGTCAGATTGGCTCAGTCTGTTGTGATTTGTCAACTCTGCTCTCATTGGTCAGATGACCCAGTCTGTTGTGATTGGTCTTTTCTGCTCTGATTGGTCAGATGACCCAGTCTGTTGTGATTGGTCTTTTCTGCTCTGATTGGTCAGATGTCCCAGTCTGTTGTGATTTGTCAACTCTGCTCTCATTGGTCAGATGACCCAGTCTGTTGTGATTGGTCTTTTCTGCTCTGATTGGTCAGATGTCCCAGTCTGTTGTGATTGGTCTACTCTGCTCACATTGGTCAGATGACCCTGTCTGTTGTGATTGGTCTTTTCTGCTCTGATTGGTAAGATGTCCCAGTCTGTTGTGATTTGTCAACTCTGCTCTCATTGGTCAGATGACTTAGTCTGTTGTGATTGGTCTTTTCTGCTCTGATTGGTCAGATTGGCTCAGTCTGTTGTGATTGGTCAACTCTGCTCTCATTGGTCAGATGACTCAGTCTGTTGTGATTGATCTACTCTGCTCTGATTGGTCAGATGACCCAGTCTGTTGTGATTGGTCTTTTCTGCTCTCATTGGTCAGATTGGCTCAGTCTGTTGTGATTGGTCTACTCTGCTCTCATTGGTCAGATGACCCAGTCTGTTGTGATTGGTCAACTCTGCTCTCATTGGTCAGATGACTCAGTCTGTTGTGATTGATCTACTCTGCTCTGATTGGTCAGATGACCCAGTCTGTTGTGATTGGTCTTTTCTGCTCTCATTGGTCAGATGGCTCAGTCTGTTGTGATTGGTCTACTCTGCTCTGATTGGTCAGATGACCCAGTCTGTTGTGATTGGTCTTTTCTGCTCTGATTGGTCAGATTGGCTCAGTCTGTTGTGATTGGTCTACTCTGCTCTCATTGGTCAGATGACTCAGTCTGTTGTTGGTCTTTTCTGCTCTGATTGGTCAGATTGGCTCAGTCTGTTGTGATTGGTCAACTCTGCTCTCATTGGTCAGATGACTCAGTCTGTTGTGATTGAGTCATCTGACCAATGAGAGCAGAGTAGACCAATCACAACAGACTGAGTCATCTGACCAATGAGAGCAGAAAAGACCAATCACAACAGACTGGGTCATCTGACCAATGAGAGCAGAGTAGACCAGTCTGTTGTGATTGGTCAACTCTGCTCTCATTGGTCAGATGACTCAGTCTGTTGTGATTGGTCTACTCTGCTCTGATTGGTCAGATGGCTCAGTCTGTTGTGATTGGTCTACTCTGCTCTGATTGGTCTGATAGTCCAGTCTGTTGTGATCGGTCTACTCTGCTCTGATTGGCTCAGTCTGTTGTGATCGGTCTACCACTAACAGCGCGTTTCAGAAACAAAATGTCTATTATCATTAATGAATTTCAGCGTTACTTCAATGCTTAATACGCAGTGATACGAACCGGAATGGTGTCAGTTTATCCGTATCTCATTGAGTCTCATCCTGTTGAAGTGCAGCAGAGTGGATTCACAGATAAAGTCTCTTCTCAACATGAACAGCAGTTTCGTGGGCAGCCAATCAAGAGCAGAGGCATTATGCAAATGAGTTACATTGTTATAGGTATGTAACAGGAAATGAGACTGGAGTTATTGACAACTCAAATCAATTATTTCTTTTAGGAGACAATAACTTTATTTGTCGTGCACTTTGATCTTTGAAACTTTGCTGAGCTTTTACATTCTCAAGCAGCAGATATATTACACACTAAAGGAAATGTCTAAAAAAAAGCATAATGGGGAACTCTAAATCCACTGAAAATATGTGGAGGTTGTTAACGTTCCCCAAACATTTTTAGTAATTATTCAAGTACAATATATATTTTCAGTAACACTTTACAATAAGGTTCATTAGTTAACTACATTAGTTAACATTAACTAAGAATGAACAATGCTTCTTCAGCATTTGTTAATCTTTGTTAATGTCAATTTCAATATTTAATAATATTGTTAACATTAGTTAATGCACTGTGAACTAACATGAACACACAATGAACAGCTGGATTTGTATTAACTAATGTTGACAAAGAATAACAAATACTGTAAAAAATATATTGTTCATGGTTAGTTCATGTTAGTTCACACATTAACTAATGTTTAATAAACGAATCTTATTGTAAAGTGTTTTATATATATATAAGAAAAGAAGAAAAGTATATATATATTTTATTTTTTTTTATTTTTTTTATTCAGTTTGAAAGCTCGGGTCACACGGATGAACTATTCATTTATATCAAAGGAACATGAAACATAAAATCTCTTCTGCTCTGACTTGAATTAATATAATTCATAAATTCATGTACATAAAACACATCATGAAGGCCTTCGTAAAGTGAAATGAGTGTGTCTTTTCACATTTGGGTTTAATTGAGGAACATTATATTGAAATGAAAAAACATAAGGTCGTGCAACATTTTAACAAGGTTTGATAAGGTCGTGCAACATTCAATTTGCAGAATGTTCAGGAAATGGGAAGCAATTAAGTATAAGTGGGAATAATGGATGCTGATTGGTCAATACGGCATTCCTGCTGAGATAAAATGTCCATCAAAACTCCTTTTAATTTATCTAAAACCTCCCAGAGTGCCGTGTGCAACTGACTGATTCTCTCTTCTGCAGATGAAATCTACCCTAAAGTGTACCACACCTGCTTCTTTATCGTCACTTATTTTGCTCCATTATGTTTGATGGTCCTGGCATACATCCAGATCTGTCATAAACTCTGGTGTCAACAGGTATGTAAGCATGCTTGACTTGTACACACATTACAGTTATTTGAACGGTTTATAAATGACAGCATTTTCCTTATATTGTGCAAGCGTACTGCGTTGCATAATGTATTTGTCTAAAGTAGCATTGTGACTGATGGGAGTTTTGGATTTGGTAGCAGTTTAACAGTGTTTTACTGTAAAATCACATGAAATGCCCTGTTTTTGATTACGCTTTATTTGAAGGTGTCTTTGTTACAGTGTAATTACAATTTATGTACTAACTATAGACCATTTCACAAGATGTAAACAACACTGGTCCAGAAACACTTCCTGTTTCAGTTTCTGATAATTTACTCACCCCCATGTCATCCAAGATGTCCATGTCTTTCTTTCTTCAGTCGAAAAGAAATTAAGGTTTTAGATGAAAACATTCCAGGATTTTCTCCATATAATGGACTTCAATGGGAACCAAACGGTTCAAGGTCCAAAAGACAGTTTCAGTTCAAACTGTTCAAAGGGCTTTAAACGATTCCAGACGATGAATAAGGGTCTTATCAAGCGAAACGATCGCTCATTTAATAAATAAATTACAAAGTTTAAGTTTTATAAGCTCAAATGCTCGCCTTGCTCAGTTCTGTGATGCGCGTTCGTGACTCTCCTGTAAACAAACTCGTTCATCAAAATTAACAAATCTTTTTCCAAGTCATTTGGTTCATTCAACAAACGAAACGAACGAATTGACTCGGAAAAAAGATTCGTTCATTTTGATGAACGAGTTCGAACAGGAGAGTCACGAACGTATGGAAAGCCGTTTTAGCTTGTATTCATTTCCAGGATATGAATTCTTGATATCAACAATTACATTTTTTTTTATATCAACAATTGAATTGCTGATATCTGTAATTTTATTTTCACTAGTGAAATCTCACCATAGGCTGCCATTCAAAATAAATTGTTGATATCAAGAATTGATTTTTTTTCTAGTAGAAATATAATTTTTGATTTCAATAATTACATTGTTACTAGTAAAAATGTAAATTCCTGATATCAATAATTAAATTGTCACTAGCTGAAATGTCTATTCTTGATATCAACAATTCAATTGTTACTAGTAAAAATGATCATTTTTGACATCTGAAAATGTATTTCTGATATCACTATTATTTCAGATATCTGAAATGGCTTTATTACTAGTAACAATCACATTCATGATATCAGAAATTAACATTGTCACTAGTAAAAATTAAATTATTGATATAAAAAATGAGCATTGTTACTAGTAGCAATTCAATTGTGGATATCAAGAATAGACTTTTCAGCTAGTGACAATTAAATTGTTTTACATAAAAATGTAATTGTTGATATCAAGAATTCATATCCTGGAAATGAATAAAGCTAAAAGAGCTTGCCATACTAATGCGCGTCACTTTAATTTATTTATTAAATGAGCGATTGTTTCGCTTGATAAGACCCTTATTCATCGTCTAGAATCGTTTAAAGCCCTTTGAACAGTTTGCACTGAAACTCTCATTTGGACCTTGAACCTTTTGGTTCCCATTGAAGTCCATTATATGGAGAAAATCCTGGAATGTTTTCATCAAAAACCTTAATTTCTTTTCAACTGAAGAAAGAAAGACATGGACATCTTGGATGACATGGGGGCGAGTAAACTACCAGCAAAAGTTTTTCAAAAGTGAACTACTCCTTTTAGCGATTATCACACTATCCGATTTATTATAGTCCTTTACGATGAACAGACTGTACGAACACGATCATCGCTGTAAGTCACACTGGAAGATCTCAGATATCAGACTCGTCTTCGGTGGCGGTGAGCTGCTTTGAAATGCTGGCTACAAACAGATCTCTAATGTTCATCTAGGTCATGGTTTGTCTTGAAAAACAGAGACGATTTTGACAGTCATGATAGGAGACGTCACACTGCAGGACTGCGAACCAAATCTTTTGACAGCCAAAACAGAAGTTCGGGTCACATTTGATCGCAATGTTCATTAATGAGATCAAAGACTTCAGATTTTAGTCTAGGATCAGAGGAATCTGTTAGGATTTGCAAAAATGGTCTCAGACAGCCAACTTGTGTGTGCACCCGGCTTTAATCGCAATGAAAAGAACATATTTCTGCAAGCTGGGTAACAGGTTTTTACTGTAGCATTTTTACAGTTATTTTCCATCCCGAGCAGATTCCCGGGACGTCATCGGTGCTTCAGAGGAAGTGGAAGTCTCTGCAGTGCTCCGCTCACGCCGGCGGCTCGGGGGAAGCGGTGAAGGTGAGGACCAGCGCCGTCTCAGCCGAGGTCAAACAGGTGAAAGCCAGACGGAAGACGGCCCGCATGCTGATGGTGGTGCTGTTTGTGTTCGCCCTCTGTTACCTGCCCATCAGTGTCCTCAACATCATGAAGAGGTAAGAGTGTGTGAAGAACACGGTCGCGCAACAACGTTAAAAAACAGAGGACCATTCAAGATGTTATAATACCATTTAATGACTTTTTGAGAGGGTTTATTGTGATCCACATTTTTAAATCAGCATATAAAAGGCACACGTTAATGAGTAATATATGTATCATTTGGGTCATTTGGGTGTATTTACTATGTACTTACATCAACAAAATAATTATATTAATAATTCTTAGGTGATAATAATAACTGATGGGTCGGTTTAAGGGTTTAAGATGTAAGGAAAGGTCAAGAGTGTTATTATAGATACAATTACATGCAGCTTTTACATATAAGTACAGTACCATGAAAAACATGTATGTGCACAATAAGTGCACTATATCAAATGATTCATTTAAATCTTGGTACATTGTAGTTACAGACACTTAATAAAAATGTCATTGTTGGTCATGAAAATAATGTCAATATGAATGGATGGATTATCCAAAAATTGGCTTCATTTTCTTTATGCAAATGATTTTTCGGTAACACTTTACAATACGGGTGCACTAATAATTCATGCTTAACTAAAGCACAGATAATCATGAGTTAATGTAGAACTCATGAAGAACTAAACCATTAATTAATGATTACGACATCAGCAATTAATAAAGAGTCTATATGATTAATAGATTAAGTAATACATGAATTTCTATTAATTCAACGTGCCATTGTGTATTAATTCCTTAATAACATATTTTATTAACTAATAGTGTAAATTAATGTGTTAATTACCATAATTAATCAAAGCTATGCACTTCAACTTCTAGTTGTCTGCTTTAATTAATCATTAGCTAACGATTTGCAAAGGTATCATTATGTTATGACTTTACTTGATGGGGCACATCATTATTAACTAGTCATTTAGTAATTTGCACATGAATTTGCACTAACAATGAAGTAATTAATCATTTATTAATGCATATTAGTGTATCTGGAAGTTAAAATACAAGGCTTTTCAATTCATGTATTACTTAATCTATTAATCATATATTCTTTATTAGTTCTACATTATCTCATGATTATCTGAGAATTAGTTAAGCATGAATTAACACATATTAGTGCACCCGTATTGTAAAGTGTTACCGACTTAACTCTGTAGGATAATGTGTATCATGATTTGGAAATTTTGGCATTTGGTTTACTCAACCGTTAACATTTTTTCATTGAAGAAAAAAACCAAACTACATTCATTTTTCAAAAAGTGTCTTATGGTAGTATAACGCATTATTATGAGTAATGCGAGCCGTGTTTAAAGGCATGAGACAGACTGCTGAGATGATATCTGTTAATTATGCGCCTCTTTGTAGTCTGACTTCTGTTGTTCAAGCCAAGAATCTGTAATGAATTTCCCCCTAGCAGTAATCCAAGAAATGAATATAGCTCTTCGAGTCTCACTGTCTTTATTTCACCCACAATACTACATTTTAACTAAATTTGCGTTGAAGGAAAAGTAAGTGTCAGTTATCTATCATAACCCAATAGTTGTCTGGGTGTTTACCAGGGCTTTGCTTTGCGGTTGTGAGATGTGTGGCGCAATCCAACAACGATTCACTCAGATAATCAATATAATCTTTTATAGTCACTCAATATAATGATACAAAAATAGAAATGCTCAGGAGAATTTTAGCAGAATACAAATGCAAACCATAACCTCAAACAGACGATATAGAGACTAAGGCAATGTTTACACGGAAACGATTCTGAAGAGAAAACGTAAAAGTGGTGTTGCGTCATCTTTTTTTATTCTGCGTTTAGACGAGCGTTTTGTGTGGGAAATCCGCGTGGAAATGGGGACGCAAAAGTGTGTGAAATTCAATGTAGTACGCACTTCAGGCGGCTGTGAGTGCATACTACAACAACACCAAGTCCACGCGCCTGCGTACAACCTTCACTGTCAAGCAGACTTTTTTGCGTGACGGTGGAGCGTTTTTAAGATTTCCACTCTGGAGGGTGGTTTCACTTTTTTGCGTTTTTCACGGCGTTGCCGTGTAAACGAAAGGCACATCCGATAAAATATTTTTACGTTTTCACCCGCGAGCGTTCTCGTGTAAACTAACACAGTCTCATCCCAAATCGTCATATAACTGACGTTTTGGGACGTATTTTGACCATACGTCAATATCCGCCTTTTTAGGGCCCCCTTAAACGTCGGTAGATGGCGATCCCGGGCCGTCATACAACTGACGCTTTACCTTTAACGTCAGTTAGGTGACGGGTTAGGTTTAGGGTTAAGTTTAGGTCTGGGGTAGAGTTAGGATCCCATAACCTCATCTACCGACGTTTAAGGGGGCCCTAAAAAGGCGAATATTGACGTATGGTCAAAAGACGTCCCAAAACGTCAGTTATATGACGATTTGGGATGAGACCGGGTTGTGTAAACGGCCTAAAACCAAACAGGGAGGGTAGGATATACTCAGGGAACCAAACTAGACACAGGTGGCACTAATTTGTAACCAAGGTAACCAACAAGGAGGAAGCAGTAACTAAGGGGATGTTTACACAACACCGTTTTACTAAAAACTTTGTATATGTTTTGGCCGTTTGTTTACACGAAAACTGCGGTTTGGGTGCCTGAAAAAACAAAGTTTTGAAAACGGTTTTTGCAAATGACAAAAAAGCGAATCACTGAAGACGATGACGTCATGCACATGCATATCACGTGTTCAGTCTACAGTGTTTCGTCGCCATCTCCTGGCCTGGAGCAGAATAGAGCTCGTTTACGGATCCGTACGAACGGGTTTCGTTTTGGCAATGGTGTCGTCTGTGCACGGAAAACTCAAAGGAAAAACTTCTCCGTTTTAAGCACATCGTTGTCATTCAGTAAACGTACTCTAAGGAGATAGAAGCTAAACTGAAAGGAAATGCATGCACATAAATGGTCTTTCAAGTGATTTTTCACCCTTTTTTATCATCCACCAGATGACTGGCAGTTAGTAATAATACCTCTTGGTGGTTATAATGGAGCACAACAGGGTTACCCAGGGGTCAGTGTTAGCAATCATTGCAGAGAAAAAACACAGAGCTTACAGTTCAGTCTGTGAGCATGACTCCCGGTTTCCACAGTTACTCCTTCACTTCTTCAGGAAAAAAACAGTACGGGATAATGTACAGTCAGACAGTCATTAATATAAACCTGGTGCGAAGTAGAAAGGTTTTATCACAGGGTCTATTTTGCACAGATGATTTTGGTGGTACGTTGACTGTATGCTATCCTTACATTAAAAATAAGTCGATTTGAAGTGTTTTTATAACATGAGAAGAAAGAAAATGCGAAGCATCCAGTGACGCATAACTCAATCTCAGCTTTGTGTTCTGATCGACCAGTTGGTGTTTGTTTATTAATAATAACATACTACAATCTTGCTTATTACACATCTACTTTGAGTTCAAATATTTTATTTTGTAGATAAGTATTTCCCCTCACTAGTTTAAGCTGCTTTGCAGACTGCATGTGTTGAGCTGAAATGAAGGCTGCAAGTAAAAATCTACTTTTTGTGAGGATTGTTAGAGGAGATTCCCACTGTATTTGAGAAATGGGCTTTATTTATTCTAAATGTTTTGTTTTTGATTGTTGCATTTATACAGAAGACATTTATACATTTATACTTGTTTCCGCCTCAGAATAAAAACATTTTAAAAGATAATTGAGACTTTTTATTTCAAAATTGCGAGATATAAATCTCAAAATTGAGATTCACAATTGCAATTCTGACTTTTTTTCTCACAATTCCGACTTTATATCATGCAATTCTGGCTTTATCACATGCATTTGCGAATTAATATATCGCAATTCTGAAATCTTAGATTTATGAGATATAAACTTAATTTATGAGATATAAGCTTGCAATTGCTTGTCAGACAAATTGTTTATAAATTGTTATAAAGTCAGAATTTCGAACTATAAACGTGCAATTTTGAGAAAAAACGGCAATTTTGCCAGTTTATATCTCACAATTCTGACTTTATAACTCACATTGCAACTTTATATCACACAATTCACAAAAAAGTCATAATTGTGAGATGTAAACTCGCAATTGTGAGAATGAAAAGGTCAGATTTGTGAGATATAAATCAAAAATTGTGAAAGTTAGACTTACGAAATATAATCTCGCAAATGCAATTCTGACTTTTTTTCTCACAATTGCGACTTTATATCATGCAATTCTGGCTTTATCACATGCATTTGCGAGTTAATATATCACAATTGTGAAATCTTAGAATTATGAGATATAAACTTAATTTATGAGATATAAGCTTGCAATTGCTTGTCAGACAAATTGCTTATAAATTGTTATAGTCAGGATTTCGAGATATAAACGTGCAATTTTGAGAAAAAAAGGCAATTTTGCCAGTTTATATCTCACAATTCTGACTTTATAACTCACATTGCAACTTTATATCACACAATTCACAAAAAAGTCATAATTGTGAGATGTAAACTCGCAATTGTGAGAATAAAAAGGTCATATTTGTGAGATATAAATCAAAAATTGTGAAAGTTAGACTTACGAAATATAATCTCGCAAATGCAATTCTGACTTTTTTTCTCACAATTGCGACTTTATATCATGCAATTCTGGCTTTATCACATGCATTTGCGAGTTAATATATCACAATTGTGAAATCTTAGAATTATGAGATATAAACTTAATTTATGAGATATAAGCTTGCAATTGCTTGTCAGACAAATTGCTTATAAATTGTTATAGTCAGGATTTCGAGATATAAACGTGCAATTTTGAGAAAAAAAGGCAATTTTGCCAGTTTATATCTCACAATTCTGACTTTATAACTCGCATTGCAACTTTATATCACACAATTCACAAAAAAGTCATAATTGTGAGATGTAAACTTGCAATTGTGAGAATAAAAAGGTCAAAATTGCGAGAAATAAATCTCAAAATTGCGAAAGTTAGAATTACGAGATATAATCTTGCAATTGCAATTCTGACTTTTTTTCTTACAATTGCGACTTTATATCATGCAATTCAGCGAGTTAATATATCGCAATTCTGAAATCTTAGAATTATGAGATATAAGCTTGCAAACTTGTGTGTAAGAAAAATTGCTTATAAATTGTTATAAAGTCAGAATTTCGAGATATAAACGTGCAATTTTGAGAAAAAAGGCAATTTTGCCAGTTTATATATCACAATTCTGACTTTATAACTCACAATTGCAACTTTATATCATACAATTCACAAAAAGTCAAAATTGTGAGATTTAAACTTGCAACTGTGAGAATAAAAAGGTCAAAATTGCGAGATATAAATCTCAAAATTGCAATTCTGACTTTTTTTCTCACAATTGCGACTTTATATCATGCAATTCTGGATTTATAACACGCATTTGCAAGTTAATATATCGCAATTCTAAAATCTTGGAATTATGAGATATAAACTTGCAATTGCTTGTCAGACAAATTGCTTATAAATTGTTATAAACCAGAATTTTGAGATATAAACATCCAATTTGAGGGAAAAAAGCAATTTTGCCAATTCTGACTTTATAACTCGCAATTGCAACTTTATATCACACAATTCACAAAAAGTCAGAATTGTGAGATGTAAACTTGCAATTTGTGAGAAAAAAGGTCAGAATTTTGAGTTTAAAAAAAAAGCTTCCGTACGTTTATGTCTGTTATCCGCAGAGTTTTCGGCGCTTTCAAGAACACCAACAACAGAGAGACGGTCTACGCCTGGTTCACCTTCTCACACTGGCTGATATACGCCAACAGCGCCGCCAATCCAATCATCTACAATTTCCTCAGTGGTGAGTCTTTAACAGGTTCAGCTACATCAGAGGTCTGCACTTCTGCTTCTGGAGACTCACCGTCCCTGCGCTGCATATGTTCAGTGTCGTCCTTCTGCACACACCAGATTCAGAGGTGTCACAGAGGTTTATTCAGTAGAGATGAAGCATGTGCTGTGTGCCGGTTCCTCCATCTGCTGGTCACACTCGGCCATTACACCAGTCGTTCACTGCCTGCAGACACACACACACTTCAAAGCTTTGAGATGCAGTTTGCCCTCCAGAAACATCCTGCACCTTTTCATTCATAACGCGCAAACTAATTATTTATTCATTAGCTTTGCAATATTCTCTTTGTGCCGCTCTAATAACAGAGTAGGCTACATCATTACCTGGTCATTTCAAGGAAGCTTTTCACATTAGGCAGTTTAGAGGATCCAGTGGCGCTACTGAAAATAAATCGATCCGTTTAATCCCAGAAGTCACCTTGAGACCAACATTTTGAATTTGAAAGGTTATATATAAAAAGCAGAATATAAAATGCACTGTGCAAAAATTGTAAGTTAACATACTTTGAGTGTGATTCAAGGCCTGCTATAGCTAATCAGATCATTCATCCTTCACTTCATCCAGACGCTGCTGAAAGTGACATTTAGATGAATAAATATGTGCTCCGCTTTTCTCTCGATAACAAAATACACACACCACCAAACTGACAGCGGTGAGGAAACATCAGTTCAGAAATCATCTGATCATGGAGACGTGAATATGTGTACAGCAGCTCTGAGACTCACATGTCCACAGCTGAGGTGATTCACACTTATGATCGTTTGAATATAAAGTACATTTGAGACTACATTGATCTGGAAATGTGCGACTATAGTTTGAACACTTTAGCATTATCCTGAACATAAGCATTCATCATGTGTCATTGAAGGGAAGAGAGGCTTTCGGGAGCTTTTATGTGAATTTTCCTTCATTAAATTCAGTCTACAGGGTTTCAAAGACTACAGGAAGTCAGGAAAGATCTCATTTTCTTTACAAGCTCTTCACACGATGGCAATGAAAGAAAGTGATTAATACATGAAATTGTTACATATGTCCCCTTTTTCATTTCAATTAATACAAATAATGCAACTATTTATTGTTAGTTCATGACAAGTTATTTGAGGTCCATAGATAATATTAACAGATACGAGTATTGCTGTAATTAAAGGGATAGTTCACTTTGAAATTAATTTTTGGTATGTTTTATCTGACCTCAAGGGCATCCAAGATGTAGGTGTCTTTGTTTCCGACGTAGTTTCAATTTTGATATTTTTATGTCAAACCGTTGTTGTCAGTCAGTCATATAATGGAGGTCTATGGTCACCACCTCAAAGAGCAGCACAGAGAAGTCCAGATTAAACATGATTTAATGACTCATAAATGTACAAAACCAAACAGTATTTATATCGTTTTTACCTCTTGTAATCACAGTAATGTCCAACTGTTCTGAAGGCATGGGCACTACGGTCTGCACTGTAAAAAATAAATAAAAAAAATCGTTAAAAAAAAAAAACCGGTAAAATGACTGGCAGCTACTGCCAAATAAAAACCGTAAAATGTAAGTAAAATATCTTAAATGCAATAAAGTGCAAAAACTATAATTTTACAGAATTTTTTATTAAAATTTTCACAGAAAAACACTCTTATTTTACAGGCTTTTTTTTTTGTTTGAATTAAGATATTTTACTTTAATTTTACAGTTTTTGTTTAGCAGCTGTAGCTGCCAGTCATTTGACCGTTTTTTAATTATTATTTTTTTACAGTGTAAAACTGTTATTTTATGGATTTTTCCTATAGATTATAATGACTAATATAATCATATTATAGCACTAATAGTTTTATGAAGAAACACTGTTATTTTACAGGTATTTCCTCATTTATTATGATGATGATGATGACCTTATTGTCACTTGGTCACAAGTACTAGCGAATTACAATCAAACACCTTCAATAAAGTGGTGGAACTAATAGTTTTATGAAGAAACACTGTAATAATTTAGGAAATACATGTAAAATTACAATTAAATGCCTTCAATAAAGTGATGGCACTAAAGGTTCTAATGGTTCTAACAGACCTTTGCTAAATTATAACAATCAAACACATGATTCAAAAAAATTGTCAAGACGTCCTCAAGATTGTAAATCAACAGTTTTATTTTGGAAGACAAAAGACAAATAAACTTTATAAAAGGGATTAAAATCATCTCCGTAAACATGCACTCTAAAAAAAATGGAATGATTCAGTTGACAATTACAGTATACACCACATAGTAGTTATCAGTAGAGCAATTTCATCAAATTCTGAAATTTAAGCATTAAAGTGAAATTTTCTAAACATACTGAACACATTTACAAGATTTCACACAACTATTGATTCTAAGCATTACAGGGATAGTTCACTTTGAAATTAATTTTTGGTATGTTTCAGTCATTAAATCATGTTTAATCTGGACTTCTCTGTGCTGCTCTTTGAGGTGGTGACCATAGACCTCCATTATATGACTGACAGACAACAACGGTTTGACCTAAAAATATCAAAATTTAAAATACTGTGGAAACAAAGACACCTACATCTTGGATGCCCTTGAGGTAAGATAAAACATACCAAAAATTAATTTCAAAGTGAACTATCCCTTTAACATTAGATAATAAATGCTGTAGAAATGCATCGATGTTAGTTCAAGTGAACAAATGGAACCTTATTGAAATGAAATCCTGTGTTCTCGCAGGTAAATTTCGAGAGGAGTTTAAAGCGGCGTTCATCTGCCATTGCTCCGGCGGAGACGAGACACCGAAGGAGAGAGTCCGAGCGAGAACCAGTACAGATAGCCGCAAATCCCTGTCTACACAAGTCAACAACTTCGACAACATCTCCAGGATATCTGACCAGGCGGTGTAGCTCGGCGGGAGTGACGGCCACCCAGGCTGAAGAACGCCGGATGTTTCGGCCTGCGAGGCTTATGGATGGAGGGATTGAATGGACACGACATTTTGTCTCGTGTAAGGCCACGTGAACCTTCGCTGGAATTGATATTCTTACCCCGTGAGGTTATTTTCCAGCTCACGGCTCTAATGGACGCGCCAACAATAATGACGTGTCTCTGAAACACAACAACACTGCATTTAACTCAAGACTGAAAGGTAACGATGAAAGAAGGGAGTGTTAAAATAATAATGTTTCCTATCCAATCTAATGCAGAGAGATAATGGTGAGCAATCTGAGTGTCCTCTGCAAACACTCGCTCCACTGAAACACTGCTCTGTTCGTTTGAGCATCACATGATTCAGGTCTGAAAACAAACATCATTTTTGCATGCATAAACTGCTTCAAGGACATTCAAACAAAATTGATGTATATTTATTTTTTATTCCATGTACAGTTTGACATATTTAATGTTTCTCTAAGAATGCTGTTTTGTATTGTTTTTACAGCTCGCTGTCTCGGTGACACTTTACAATAAGGTTTCATTTGTTAGTTAACTACATTAGTTAACATGAATTAATTGTATTAAAGGAGTAGTTCACTTAAAAAAAAAAAAACTTTTGCTGATAATTTACTCGCCCCCATGTCATCCAAGATGTCCATGTCTTTCTTTCTTCAGTCGAAAAGAAATTAAGGTTTTTGATGAAAACATTCCAGGATTTTCTCCATATAATGGACTTCAATGGGAACCAAACGGTTCAAGGTCCAAATGAGAGTTTCAGTGCAAACTGTTCAAAGGGCTTTAAACGATTCCAGACGATGAATAAGGGTCTTATCTAGGACCCTTCGAGTCATGACTCGAAAGAGATTAATTCATTTTGATGAACGAGTTCGAACAGGAGAGTCACGAACGCGCATCACAGAACAGGGCAAGGCGAGCATTTGAGCTTATAAAACTTAAACTTTGTTATTTATTTATTAAATGAGCGATCGTTTCGCTTGATAAGACCCTCATTCATCGTCTGGTGTCGTTTAAAGCCCTTTGAACAGTTTGCACTGAAACTGTCATTTGGATCTTGAACCGTTTGGTTCCCATTGAAGTCCATTATATGGAGAAAATCCTGGAATGTTTTCATCAAAAACCTTGATTTCTTTTCAACTGAAGAAACATGGGGCAGAGTAAATTGTCAGCAAAAGTTTGTTTTTTAAAGTGAACTACTCCTTTAATAATGCACAGTGGAACATTTACAAATACATTTTTAGAATCAAAAGTTAATATACATTAATTTACAGTAACATGAACAAACAACAAAAATTATTTGTATTAAATAACAATAACAAGAGATTAATAAATGATGCACAAATTATAGCTTATTTAAGCTAATGCAGTAACTGCTGAGACCTTATTGTAAAATGTCACCGTTTACTCCCACTTGGGTATTAAAAAATAAAATGTGAATGTTCACTTAAGTGTTTATTTCAGAAGTGTTTGCCGATAAGTTTTATTCCTGATGTGTGTTGTTTTAGAGCATTCATTTCTAATTGTTTTGACGTTTTGCGCAGTCAAGCATTAATTATTTGCTCTGAGTGTTTGCTTGTTGGATCAGGAAGCCTGGAGCTCTTACTGTTTATTTGACTATTAGAGTAATAAAGCGGAACAATGGCACAACAATGCGTCTTTGTTCAAGTGTGACAGACGTCAGGAGAACCAACAGGTGAGCAGCAGAGGACTACTGTATGATGTCTCTCAGGTGCGCTCTTTGTGTTATCTATCATAAGTGTGTACTTGCTGCTACTTAGAAGTACTGTACTTTAAGTGTGTTGATGTGTTTGAAATTATGTTTGTAAAAAGATTCTAATTTTACTTCAATTGACTCATAGACATATACACTAGACCTCACCTGGGGGTTCTAAGCATGCGTCAAAACCGCCGCCATCTTGGAACAGGGGTCTTGTCATAGGAAGTAGCTAGGTAACGCTGCTATCTCTGCCTTTACTTCGAATTCATTGATAGTGGCGGACTTTTGTGCAGCGTATGATGTTCACGGATGAAATCTGAACTAGGAAGAATGTTTAAAAAAAAAATAATAAATTAAAAAAAAAATTTTTCTTTCTGGAATCAATGATAAATACATGTCTGACCGTTGGAACAAACCAAAAAAAACAAGAAAAATCGCATTCATTATGATTTATGGTGATTTTATTTCCGTTAGACCTGTGTCTACTACATTGACGCTGATGCATTAAAGTGGAGGGGCTCCCCTGTTTCAAGATGGCGGCTCTATTGACGCATTCGTTCTAATGAACTGCCGTATCCAAGGTGAGGTCTAGTGTATATGTCTATGCAATTGGCTAAGCAATTTGTCATCATCTTTTTGTTAGCACAGAAGTGAATCTCACACATGCTGACTTTTAAACGTCTTTTGGCAGAACAATGTGAATTACTTTGGTCTCTGTTTGTACAATCCAAAAATAAAGAAGTAAACAACGATAACTCTAATTGAGTATGTTTTGAACTCATTAGCATGAAAATTTATGATGGTCTGAGCTGGTATTTTGTCCTATCTGCGCGTTTACATGGACCCTTATAATCGGATTAATGGCTCAATCAGACTAAAAAACCTTAAAGGTGCCCTAGAATGTTTTTTTTTTTAAATTATTTTATAATGTTTCCTGGGTTGCCCTTATAATGTTAGTATGTTTTTTAGATCAAAAATAGTCATAATTTAGAAATAAAAGGCATTTTTCCAAAAAACAGAAACAGGAGTTTGCTATTGAAACCATACAATCTTAGCCTTCTTAAAAAGTACATCCTTTGTTGCAACCTGGTGCAAAGATAATCAACATGAATTTGCCAGGTAAGGAAACAATCAATAAAAACACCCAGATATTTATATGACGTATCCTGACATATAGGTGAGGGTTAGGTTCACAGATTGATCTTGGGTCAAATATCCTCTCCTCTGTTTTAGTGACATTAACCATTAAATGGTGAGCATCACACCAGTCCAGTTTTATTTCTGAATGGTAGGAGACTGTGTCTTGGTCTTGATACAATAAGCTAAGAATAGCAGTATTCCCAGCAAACAAATTTAGGTTCTGGGAACGTTCTAGGAACGTTAGTTTTTGATTCCCAGAACGTTCCTAGAACTTTCCCTTAATGTTAAGGGAACGTTCCCGGAACATTCTCCTTACGCTATAAAAATGGCACCTAAAAATAACCTACATTGAACGTTCCTATAACGTTCTTGTTTGGTTCCCAAAAAAATAACCTCATGGGACCATTCGGGAACGTTAGGGGAACGTTCTGTGTTTGCTGGGCAGAAAATTTAACAATGAAATTGTGTGGATGTTTACTCACACATTCATTAGTATAAATAGTAAAAAGGACAGGGGAGCTCACACAACCCTGTGGTGCCCCTGTACTGATGGATTTGGGGTCTGTCTGAGACTGCCTGATGTACTTTAACATATTGTGTCCTATTAGTTAAAAATGAGTAATACCATTCAACGATAAAAGAGCTTACACCCATATTTTTAAGTGTCTCAAGTAAAATAACTGGCTGAATCGTGTTGAAGGCCGAACTAAAATCCTCCAATTTTAGTCCTCCAAATGCTTTAGGACTAAGTGGGTGATGCTACTTATAGCATCATCTGTACTCCTGCCCCTTTTATAGGCAAACTTCCAGGGATCTAAACTTTCATTGACCTCAGTTTTTAGAAGAGACACCATATATTTCTCAAAACATTTCATCACAATGGATGTCAAAGCTACTGGTCTAGAATCATTGTTCTCCATGGTACAAGGCTTCTTTGGGACTGGAATGATAACAGTCTTTTTCCATAGAGCTGGAATGATGTGGAAGTCAAGTGATCGCTGAAAGATAGGACACCATGCTGGAACAAGCTCAACCGCACAGGTTTTCAGTAAGCGGGCAGAGATTTCATCTGGACCCTTAGCCTTCCTAGTACACTGATGCAGGAACAGTGAATCTCATGTCTCATGTTCGAATCCGTGCTGAAGGAGTTTAGGATACTGATGCATTCATTGCTAAAATCCTGAGTTTGAAATCTAAGGTAAGTTCATTAGCCTTCATCCGGTCATCTGTTGTGGTTATATGTGCCATGTTAGTGATGGCTTTCATTGAGTCCCAGAGTTTTTTTGAATTCATGGTTGTGAATTGGTTCACAATTACTTCCATTTGCTGTTTTCTGGCTTTATTAAGCAGTTGATTCAATTCCTTTTGTACCACTTTTAGCTCAGTTCTATCTTCATTTCTGAAAGCTGCCTTTTTTCGATTTATGCAGTCTTTTATGTCCTTGGTTACGTAAGGCTTATTGTTTGGATAAACCAAAACCTCTTTCTTTGGAAGTACGCTATCTATGCAATAATTTATATAGTCTGTCCCAGATAGCAAACTGACATTGAATCAACGTGGAAATATGACATTGAAACAACGTTGATCTGACATTGTTTTGCTCATCGAATTAACGTTGAACCAACGTCAGACGCGTCATTCTTTCAAAACTAACGGAAAATCAACTTGAAATCAACGCGTTGTTTCAACGTTATGAAAGCAAACCAATTTTCGATTTTCATTTAGCTTTGAAGAATGCCGCGTCTGACGTTGGTTCAACGTTAATTCGATGAGCAAAATCAACGTTGTTTCAATGTCATGAGAGACGTCGTTTCCACAGTTTGCTGTCTGGGGTGATTGTGTCTGTTGTGACATCAATATCTCTGTCGTGAAACACACTCCAGTCTGCACACAAGAAACATCCCTTTAATGTTTCTATCCCCTCATCGGACCACACGGTGACTGTTTTCACTTGTGGCTTACTGCGGCTACGTCCACATTAATCCGGATACATTTGAAAACGGCATTTTCGTTTAAAAACGCTCCTCGTCCACACTAGCGTTTTCAGCCGTTTTACGACGTTTCAGTGTGGATGAGAAACTTCTAAATTCACTTTACTGCGCATGCGTGAAACTCCACAAAAGCTCACTGAGACGTTACACAATACCGATAAACATGAATATCTATTGGTACTACATGGATCACATGACTAAACTTACATCATCGTTTTGAAATACCTCCGGTTTCACCATCCACACTACAACGCGAAAACGGCGTTTTCAAATTTATCCACTTTGCAGAGCGTTTTCCAAACGATACGTTTTTGATAACTTAAAACGGCGTCTCAGTGTGGACGGAAGGCCAAAATGGAGAGAAAAATATACGTTTTCAAACGAAAACGTATTAGTGTGGATATGGCCTGCGTTTCAGCATGGTTTTGTAGATGGGAATTAGGTGAATCACGTTGTGGTCTGAATTGGCCAATGGTGCTTTTGGTTTGGCTACACAGGCATTTTTGACGTTACCATAACATTTATCAAGAGTCTTGTTTTCGTGCGTTCTGCACTTGATATATTGTTCGAACCCAGGGAGTGCTCATTCAAGTTTACAGTGGTTGAAGTCACGGGGGCGTCAGGAGCGCGCTGCAGCTCTCTGTGTACACAGTCAGCAATTCGATCTGCGGCCCTAGCTGCATTCCCACTT